GCAGAGGATGCCGCGCACGAAGGCCTGCTTGAAGCTGAGCGACGTCTTGGCGACCGCCGTCGCCACCGGCGCCCCCGACGCTGCGAGAGTGCCGCCGGCGGCGACCAGCGCCGCCAGGCCGACCGAGCCGAGAAAGTTGCCCGCGTACGAGACGAGCCACGACTTTGCGAGCTGGCCGCCGTCCGCCTTGCCCTCGGCGACCGCGGTGGTCACCATCGCCGTGTTGCCCGTGAAGAGCTCCGCCCCCGTCACCAGCGTCATCATCAGACCGAACGGGAGGCCAAACGCGCCCGCGACAATCTTCTGCAGGCCGGGGTTGGTGGCGGCGAGGCCGGGGCACTGGCCACCGACGGTGAGCATGAGGAAGGCGCCAAAGCCGATGTGCGCGCCCGACATGAGGCCCAGCCCAAAGATCTTGCCCGCATCCATGTTTGCCTTTTTGATCCCCGCCGCGACGGCACCGTCGTAGCCCTCGGGCGGCGTGGCCAGCTGCATCGCAAGATTTGGCGCGCGGACGGCGGAGAGCGCCGGCGCCGGGGCGCGAGCCACCAGCGCGAGGCCGGGCGCCGTGATGAGAGCGAGGCTCAGCATTGTTACGCTGTCAGGGTGAGAGGACCAAAAGGGGACTGGCCGATCACCGATGGAGCGAGCAGCGGTTTTTCTTTTTAGATCTACACGGAAGAAAAATTCCTGTCGATCCAGGTGGCGTTTATTTTTGCTTGGGCGGCCCTGATGCCGGGGTAGGTAGGTAGGGTCTGGGCCCTCCCGTCGGGTTTTTCCCTCTTCCACGCTGGAATTCGCAGCATAAAAAGAAATTTTCCCGCGGAAATCACGATGTCAACCCTCCCCAAATGGGTGATCTGATGCTTGTAGGGCTTGAGAGTGGCCTGCCATGTCACAAGAAGGACTGTGGTTGCAGGAGAGTACCACCAACCATCACTCTAGTTGGTATAGTACCCCACCTTCACCCCTCCCATGATTTCTTTTTTAGTTTCCCATAAGTAAGGTAGGTAGGTAGGTAGGTAGGTAGGGGCACCGCAGGGGCCGGTCAGGTTTTTCCAGAATTTCAGCATCAGGGCCGCCCAAGCAAAAATAAACGCCACCTGGTCGATCGGTGAGAGGCGGTGCTACGGAGGTGAGTGCGGCCCAAGGTGAGACTGCGGCAGCCAAAGGAGCGGCTGCGGAATGACGTCGAGCATTGGCAGCTCCCCTCCCACCGTCTGCGTGCTCGGAGCCACTGGTGTCGGCAAGGGCGCCACGCTAAACTCATGCTTCGGCACAGACAGGTTCGGCACCTCATTTCGCGCCGCTTCGCACACGATTCGGCCGCAGCTGCTCGAACTGCCGTGGCGAGGGCGCGGCCCACTGCTGCGCGGCGTCGATCTGTGCGGTTTTAGCGACTCGGAGGGCCGGGACAGCGACTTTCTGGGGGAGATGGTGCGGTGCCTCAAGGAGGAGGTGGGGCAGGTTCACTGTTTCCTCCTCCTGCTCAACTCGCAAGAGGCGCGGGTCGGCAGGCACATCAAGGCAGCCTCGAGATGCCATTACCGCTATGTCACCGCTATCACCGCGCGCCTGCTCTGCCGCCCGCCGCCGCCTCCGCCGCCGCCTCCCCACACCTTCTCCTCAGCTTACGGCCTGCCCTCTTCGCCCAGGACATGCTGCTCGCGCTGCGCTCCGTCTTTGGCGACGGGCTCCTGCGGCACGTCCTTCTCGGCTTCACGCGCTGGGACTACAGTCGCCGCGGCCGCCTGCTCTGCGAGCAACGGCACGCTTTCGCGTGTGGATGACTCAGCGGGCAGTTCGTCCTCAGGCCGCTTGCTGCGCGAGCGAGGCTATGCGGCGAGCGAGGAGGCGCTGCGGGCAGGCGTCAACGCTGAGCTGCGCAAGGCGGTGGGTCACGGCCACGACTGCGACGCCGTCTTTCTCGACCACACCCAACCAATTGCAAAAACGCGGCCTAAAATTCCTTCCGAAAATAAAGCCCGAATACGAGCCAAGGTCCTAACCCAAGGGGTTCGAACCCTTGGTTTCCCTGGCCCGGGGGGCCTTTT